ACCCACTCTATATGAAAATAATAATAATAATAATGAATACTTTATTTAAAGAAGGTAACCTGGTTAGTGCATGCACTATTCTTCCCCAGGGCCTTCTATATATATCAAATACAAAAAATAATACAGAATAAAATTCATCATATATAATAGTAATATGTTAAAGGAATTTCAATCATACGATTATGAATATAGTGTCCATGTATAGTTAATTGACAATCATAATACAATATACAATTTCGAAACCTTATTGTCCTCAAATAATTGTGCGACAGCTGATGATGTAATTTTCTATATTACGCTTAAATGTTCGTAGAGATTGAGAGAGTCTAATGTGTTGGGGAAGTTTATTCCATAGATGTACACCTGAATACTAAAAAGAGGTCTTGAATAAGTTTGTACGAAATTTCGGCAATCTTAGATCATGATTACTTTCAGATCGAAGATTATAAGAAGTAGAAGAATGAAATTCAAATAGATTACAAAGATATTGGGGAGTCATTCCACTGAAAATTTTGTATAATAATATGTATTTGTACAGATCAACTAGCTCATAAACTGTAAACCATCCAAGTTTCTCAAACAGTGGTTTAGAAGAAGAATCTGGACTTGCGTCAAGAATTATGCTTGCTGCCCTTTTCTGTAATTTAAATAGTCTGTCCATGTCCTGCTTGGTGGCATTAACCCAGATAGTCAAACAATAGTTAATAGATGGTAAAATATAAGCATTGTAATATAGTTTTCTGGTATGTAGAGGGAGAAATTACTTAATCCTTCGAAGAGTAAATAACATAATTTATCGTTTTACAAACCGAATCAATATGATTTGCGTACTGTAACTTATCATTAATATGTACACAAAGAATTTTTTTACAGTTTCAACCATTTCAATTGTTTTGTCTGAGGCATCCAAATTTGGATTATCTAATTTTGATTTTCTTTGCTGTGTCCCCTTAAACATGCATTTTGTTTTATCTACATTTAAAACCATTTGTTTTGAGCACACCATTTCTCAATCTCACAAAGATCTGTATTAAGTGTATTTTCTAAACATCTTGCATTAGTATTATTAGAATACAGAGTTACATCATAAGCAAACATATCAATATTTGAATTGTTTACATGTAATGGAAGGTCATTTATGTACAATAAAGATAAAAGTGGGCCCAAAATTGACCCTTGTGGCACTCCTGCTGTGACGGGTAGAATGTTGGAGACACATGATCCAAATTTAACACACTGGGTCCTATCGTAAAGATATGATTTAAACCACTTTATAGCTGTTTGGTCAAATTTGTAATGGGTTAATTTCTCTAGAAGAATATCATGATTCACTAAATCAAATGCTTTACTAAAATCTATAAATGTTATACCGATTAATTCACCATGATCCATTGCAGTAAGCCAACTTTCTGTTAGTTTTGTAAGTGAAGTTTGACAGGAATGGAGTTCCCTAAACCCCGACTGGGAATGTGTAAGTAGATCAAATTCATTAGTGAAATTTTGTATTAGCTTAGCTACATGTTTTTCTATCAATTTAGATATAGTTGGTAGAATAGAAAAAGGACGATAATTATTCGGGTCAGCTTTGTCACATTTCCTAAAAATAGGTGTTACTTTTTGAAATCGAACTTTTCTGAAAAAAATTAAGCTTCAACAAACCCGTCCATTTAAATCACACTGAAAGACGACAATAATGCACATGCTTCGTCTCGTAGTCGTTTGAGCGGTTGGTCTTGGACCAAACCTGCGCTATAGAGAAAGTTCGAATTATACCATACCTGAAGCTTTTTTTTTTTTGTTGTTTTCAAATGTCTTAAAGACATGAGTGAAAAATAATTTTTTATTTAATTGTAAAAACAATGGTATACAGAATTTGATGTAAAATATGATATAAACCATAAAATTTTATAAAAAAATACTACTTTTAGAATATTGAGAAATGTCTTGTTTTTTAGAGTAGGGGATTGTCTTTGCCTTGTACACCCCCATTCTTTTATAATGCCCCCGTAAACGACGTTTCAGGGGTATATAGTTTTCGTCGTGTCCGTCCGTCTGTCTTCTGTCTGTCTTCTGTCTGTCTGTCTCCCTGTCTGTCTCTCTGTTTGTCCGCAAAAACTTTAACATTGCCTATAACTTTTGATTTAGTAGAGCTATGACATTTATATTTCACATGTGTATTTTTTGTGACAAGAACTTTCTTTGGGTACCACCAAATTTGACCTTTCCCTTGGAGTTTGACTCACTTTAACCCAAAAATTCTAAACTTTTACTTTGGCCACATCTTTTGAATAGTATCAACCAGGGCATTTACACTTCACTTATGTATTTTTGTGGCAAGACCTTTTATGGGATAACGACAACATCGATCTTGATTTCATTGTTAGATAGCCTTTGACATCTTTAGCCAGTATAGTTTTTTTTCATATATGTGTCGATTTTACTTGTCACATTGCAAAAAAGTGGAAAAATTAAAGAATTGTTGTCATCATTTCGTAAATTCTATGGTCGATACAATGACCTTGTCAGCAAATACAATTTATCATTGAATGAAATGCTGACTGACGTTTTTTATACCAATTGTTATTCCATTATTTATACACTGAATTGACCACGGATTTTTTCCGTTATATCCTGATTATGACAACGAGCAAACGGCGGGTGTGACCGGTCAGCAGGGGATGCTCACTCCTCCATGGCACCTGATCCCACCTCTGATGTTTCGGGGGTCCGTGTTTTCTCTGCTCTTATTTTGTATATTTGAGATTGAATACTGTTCGTTATTTCCATATCCTTCCTGTCACTCGCTTTCGGTGTCTTTGTGGGTGGGATGTCATTTTTATGACATATTGTGTCAAATCTTGTCAAAGGTAATGAACATGTCAGATATGGAAGTCCTATCTCTTCTCAAGCTTGTTAACAAAGATAATCTTTCATTCTTTTATTAAACCCTTGGCATGGTTCATACCTTTTGCAAGGTCTTTGTTTTGAAATCTATTTTCCTAAGGAAGTATTCGCTTTGACAAAAGAATTGACCTATAGGAGAGTACAATTCCCCGGAAAAAGTGACATTTCAATATTAATCTTTATTTGTTGTTTTTTTACCGTATATATATCTTTTTTTATTTATTTGTATTTTATACCTAAAGTTTATTATTCCCAACTTTACAATAAACCTCCACAGTTGGCTAAACACAATTTTGTCCGCTAAGCATTGATTTTTGCATGAAATTTGGCCGAGAAGTCCTTCAGATCAGGCCTACCTTTAAATAGAATTGTGATATTTTGATGGGATATGATGTAAGGAATGATTTAAGATAGGATTTTTTAGGGCACCCCTGCCCTATGGTCGAAGTTCACGAAAACCCTACAAAAAAAATATAGAAACCTGATTTCCAAAATCTGCTTCAAATTTTTACTAAATATTTTTATAGAAGGTCTAGCTCATATGATATATGCATGAATTTATATACCGGGAAATGCTTCTTTTTAAAGTCGCGGTTCGAATCCATCTGGCACCACACTTTTAAAGTTTTGAATTTCGCCATTTCAAAGACTATTTTAATTTTTTTTTAAATAGACTTGTGTATTTTCCTTCAATTATTTATCCCGTATGTATGCACATTCTTGATACAAGAAAAACTAAAGAGATGTCAAATCGTAACAAGCAAATGTTCAGTTGGCATTCAGGCGGAACAAATATCAGTATAAGCACACTTTCTCCGAGGACAAGAATAACTCACTCTGTGTTACTCTATACAGGTATTTTTGGCAGCATTGAGCAGCGATGAATGTCAATTGTATATATTCCTTAGAATTTAATCACATTGGTTTTGGCTACATATATCAGTAACTGTACTCACTTAGATTTCATTTAGGCCCATAAAATTTGCACACCTTAATGACATGTTTTATTATATCCATAGATAAATAGCCTAGACACAAATATAGAATTACAGAGACAGTAAACATTACCATTATGCACAATGAGTAGTAAAGACAAATTTCAAGTATACATTTGGAGATAACAAATTCAGAAGGTCAATGAAAGGGTATCTTCTACATCTACTCACTGAAATAACGATTTAGAAAAAAAATGTTAAATGTATTCAGCCTAATGTCATTAATCGGAACGGAAATTGACAAGCTTTTAATGGAGAATAAAACCAAGCCCGGTTCTATAGGTCAGATATATATTTAAAATGAAGTGATCCTTTAAACTGTCATCATATCATATTTAGAATGACTTGTTTTCATACTTGATAAATAATTCCATTGTTTTAACACTGATTTGATTATTCCGTGTATCTTTGATCTCTTTAAAGGGTTTACGGTGGATGTGATCGGTCCACAGGGGATGCTTACTCCTTCTGGGTACCAGATCCTTGTGTTTTCGGGGTATGTGTTTTTTGCATTCTTCACAAATTTGCATTGCTTATAGATTTGTCTTGGGATCGACCACTGTTCGCCATTTTCACCTTTTAGATTTGTTTGAGGAATGTATTTTTATGACTGATAATACCAAGTTATGTCTGGATAACAGAGAATTCTTTCTATCCTCAGAAGGAGTAAGCACTTATGAAACTTATTGGAGCCAATGGTTTGGCTGTTTCAAAGGCTTGTTTTTTTGTTTTGTATATTTTTTTTAGATGGATCACAGTCATTCACAGATTGTCTTCTTTACCTTATTTAGACTTTTTATGTCATCAATTGTAAACTTTTCGGTGAATCAAGCGGTACCTTTTGTTTATTTTTATTAAATGATGGACTTTGTTTTTGCTGATTTATTTAGGGATGCTCACTCTTTCATGGCACCTGATCCCACCTCTGATGTTTCGGAGGTCCGTGTTTGCTATGCTTTTTTTTCTTATATTGTTTAATGGACGTTGAGATTAAATACTGTTCGTTATTTCCATATCCTTCATTGATTAGTTGGTTGACCATCAGTAAAAAACAATAAAACAAAATCTGTTTTTTGTCTTCAGCTAACAACCTTTCCCAGTATGGAAAGTGAATTGGTATTCCACAGTGGAGAGGAAAGTGGTGGTTCAGGAAAAGAGGTTATCTTGTCAACACATTACATAAGGAGGAACTATAAATTTCTGAAAAAACAAATGGAACCAGATAACTTAGTAGACTATCTAGTACAGCACAAGATTTTGACAGAAGAAGAGGATTCGCGTCTCATTGGAAAAAAACTACCTCGAGCAAAAAAATGCGACTTTGTTTTACGTAAATTGCTACGACATCCAGGTCATTTAACAGAATTAACAACAATGATAAAACGCTATTCCAAAGAGAAAAGATTTCATTGTTTTCTTTCTCTTCCACGTTCTGAAACAACCGCAAATGAAAATGTTAACACTGTTGAAAACGGTAAGATCATCCTTCATTGTTGTATTAACTAATTTTCTTATTACTTTTTTATCTTTTCAAATTTACCTTTTAAGGATATACTTACACTTGCAAATGTTTTCCTTACTTAAAATTGTTAGTTATCTCTATGTGTTTCATTTGAGTCAGTCGTTTTTGGTCAAGAGGTCACACGCTAATGATTACATTGACCAACTGACTAATTGGTCACTTCTTTTACTACGTACGTTAACAAAACATACAGAAATCAAATAGAAGTGTTGAAACACAAGACCGGATTAAAAAAATCGTTCACAAAATGAATTCTGTTTAAAAAAATTATTTTTGATTTGCAAAATATCTCTTTATTCATATGCAATGTATGTACCCGTCTGCCTCCCCCAAATCATAACATAAAATCATTAAGGCTGAATTTAGCAATTTTGACCTCTATAATGACGACCCGGTGATGTACCTTTTTGACATAAATATGATGGCTTTATCCTATCCCCTCTATGGCCCCAGCCATAGAGGTCGGGAAGGAGCTTAAGATGTCGGGTATGGAGGGGCCTCCTAGGATTCAAGTCAATGTCTGAGGAGATTTGAGGACTCTAGACCATCCATCTCAACAAAAAGAAATAGACTACTCAATGGGGAGTGAAACTCTTAGAAGGTACAGGACCTCTGAATATTACTTTAAATAAGAATTATAAACAAATTAAGTCAATGTAATTTAAACAATGTCGGAATCCATATATCTTTGTAAAAAAGGCAAATGTATATGCTACAGGATAACAATGCAATCTCCAGCACAAAGGCATACCATATTTTTATATGTTTTTTATGTGTTATATGTTATAGTTTTAACAGCTTTGTTTGTTTATTGTTAAACTTTCGTCTCGAGAATTTTTTCGTTCATATGGGGACGCCACCACTGGATAAAGAGCTATTAGATATGCCAGTTAAAGCCATTTTCATCTTAAAATAACAGCAACCTGACAATGATATATTAGATATTAGGTACTTATGTGGTTTTTCAAAAAAAACTCTTAGAAACTTTTGTAAAGGATAAAATTAAGAATAACAAAAAATATTTGCACTGGAGAAGTCGTTGGATTTACATTTTCTATGATTCCTTGGCATCACTAGGAAGTATAAACGATTAAGACATTGATTTTTGAATGAATTTTAAAATGTTATTTCTTCACTGAACTGAAATTTTTTGTAGCATCGCATATTTTGCACGATTTTTAAAAAAAAAAATAGGCAGATTAGTCAGCACAGTAATTAAGATTAAATCAAATTACCTGTTTTTAATATAGTCCATTTCTTTTCCTGCTTTGAATATAGTCCATTTCTTTTCAGACTTCACAAGATATATATTATTACATACATATAGATGTAAAGAAGCAATTACTGGACGATGATTTTCCCCATGAAAAGGTGTAAAAAATATATCTTTGGTCAAATTGACTGATTTTTCCATTAAAGGTAAACATATGTTGTTTTTCTTTAGAGAAAGTGTAAACTGCTTTTATATCCTGGTGAGCCTGAGATTAATGATACCACAGACTATGACACATCTGTTTCATACTTGGATATTTTACTTAAAAAAGACGTTAATGGTAAACTAAAAAACCAAGCTATATGATAAATGTGATTACTTTAATTTGTCTATCGTCAACTTCCCTTACTCTGTTACTTAAGCAGCAATATACCTTCATCACCTGCATACGGAGTATATATATCTCAATTGATTCGATACGCAAGAGCATGCTATAGATATGAACAATTTCTAAAACGAAATAAATTAATGACAAGCAAGTTGCTGAAACAAAAATCTCAGATGTCCCCTTTAAAGTCATCATTTCGTAAATTCTATGTTCAATACAATGACCTTGTCAGCAAATACAGTTTATCATTGACACAAATGCTGACTGACGCTTTTCATACTTATTGTTAGCCCATTATTTATACACTGAATTGACGACGGATTTTTCCGTAATTTCCCGACAAAGAGACAAGCACACGGCGGGGGTGACCGGTCGCCAAGGGATACTCACTCCTCCATGGCACCTGATCCTACCTCTGATGTTTCAGAGGTCCATGTTAGCTCTGCTCCTATTGTATTGTTTTATGGACTTTTGATCTTGAATACTGTTCGTTATCTCCATATGTTTCATTGTTACAATTTGGAATTTCTCGTACTATTTTTTAGAACAATGTTGAACAATTAAATCCTTATAATCTTCACTCGGAAGGTAACATAGAGTTGATTGTTCAATTTCCCTTCGTTATCTTCACTTTTATATATAAACATAGACTGGATTATAAAGTCGTTGTTTTGTTAATTGAAGTAACAGCTGGGATTTATGTAAGGGTTAATGTACGAGTAGCGCTCCATTCCTTAAAAGTAATGGACCGAGGCCCCGAAGGGGCCGAGGCCCATTACTTTTAAGGAATGGAGCGCTACAAGTATTTTAACCCGCGTAAAATCCGCCTTTTTGAATGCTTGCTTTTATTGTTTGTTAATACATAATAAAGAATATTTATATGATACATTGTAAATAGTTTTTATATATTAGTAGTATTATTTATATATAATATAGAAAGAAAAACTAAAAAGACTGTACTGAAGTTAATCTGAACACACGTTTCTCAACAGCCTCGATAGCTCAGTGAAATGAGCATCGGACTGCCATGGTGAAGGTACAGTTTACCGGGTTCGATTCTCTTCGTGGGTGCTAATTTTCTTAATGTGAAACTAATCATTACAGTTTTCTTAAACTCTTCTCTAAAATTTTCTAAGTTCTTTCCTTGGTAGAGGCACGGAAAGGAGAAAAGAACATAAATTCCGTTTTCAATGTAATTTGCAACTCTCCATTCCTTATAAATAATGGAGCGCTCAAACAAAATAATGACGTCACAGGTGGATTTTACTGACTGTTCGTTTACATTTCACATCCAATATAATCTATAATTATATGTTTATCAATGTCTTCGAAATAATGTTCGTTTTCTTCATATCCTTCTTGTGAGTGATTCTTCACGTTTTTGATTGTATTTCAATTTGCAAAGCATTCATGGTAAAACATCAGCTAATACTTACCTTTTTGTATGAAATCATGTTTTTTACGGTCAATTTTCTTTCCCTTCAGGGATATTTTTAAATGATCTTTTTTTTAATTTTAGATGTCATCAAACTGGATCACTCAAAGACTCAAAATACAGAAGGTAGGATTTATCCTTTATGAATTTGGAGTAAGTGTCAGTTATTGCCCTTTGAAACCATAGTCTTGCTATAAGTATTTGAAGCAAGATATATATTCATGAAAGGGGAGCTGATGAGATTGTATTTTTTTTATTTTCAGCCATGCTTTAGGTCAAGATATGTTGAGGTTATTTTTAATACTTATTTCTTATCTTCTAATTTTTTGTGGAATAGTAACACCTATGCTTGGCACTCAGGACCATTGAGCAGTTAGGGTTCTTTTTTGTGTCAACACCTACTGCGACAATGGACCAAGGTCTCCTCAGAAGGAGAGGTCTCCACGTCCCGCAGAAGATTCGAACCCAGAACGTAAGGATCAGCTCTTTACTTCGTGACTTTAGAGAAGACGCTGCAACCACTGCATTTAAATGGGTGATTCAAAAATATAATAAATTTTGTATCTAACAAATATAAAGAAATACTATTAACTATTTAAAATGCATTTTAATTTTAAAATCAATATTCTATGTAAATAATAAACATACAAACTAAGCAACAGACGAGTGCATATGAAAATATATCTTTAAAATGAAATCAATATAATCAAAATCAATGTTTTGAATATTTTTGCTTTACAATTTATAGATTGACATGAGATCATTCAAGATTTTTCTCAATTTCCAACTGTCACTTCTGAGATCCTTTCTGAAAAATTGAGGAAATGTCATTGCAAATCCATACTCAAATCAACTTCAAAAAGAATGGCGGATTGAAGGGTTGCTCAAGCAGGGAACTGTCACAAGAATAGCTTCAAACCTGTATGCAATCAAATTGAATCAACCGACACCCTCAGGTTTTGGAGCATCGTTAGATATTGTTTGTGACAAGAAATGTAAAACAACAAATTATAGTTTATCCATGACGAAAACAATAGTTACAAACCATAGAGCAGTTATTTTTCCTGAAGACCTTAAACGTACATCTACTTATTTTTTTCTGCCCCACGTTCACCAGTTCTCCTTCGTCAATGCAATTATTCATTCCATTTTGTTCAACAATGCTTAGATTTTCACGATCAGTGAAAGGTGGATTTGTTTTAGTTTCACAAGGAAAGTTAGCATTTCAAAACATTTCTCCGAAGTCATAAATATAAATCATTCAGCTTTTGATGCTAGTTCTTCAGTGAGCACCAAACATTCGTCTCGATTTCTCTGTTTTCAATCACTGTGTTTTTAACTTGTGACCTTTTCACTAATGATATTCCGCGAAGTTCTCTTCGATTTTTGTCAAAATAAACATTAATTCTCCAATTTTCCCCCAGAGTTCGTTTACTCACAAACCTCTGTAGATGAGGCCTCGACGGGGAGTACTAGTATGATTAATTCTCTTCATTTGAGAATATTATGTTCACCTAACATTATATAAATGGTGCCTATTTTGGAGGGTAACAGTTGAAATTGGCACCCCTCGGAAAACCATTGTCAATTGATGCGACAGCGGAGGATGACAATGGTTTTCCGAGGGTGCCAATTTTAACTGTTACCCTCCAAAACAGGCATCATTTATTTTATTATACTGAATGTCTTCTTGATTTAGGTTGTCAGCAAAAAAACAAGTATATACTGACAAAAAGTCAGAGATACTCAAGCTGTAGAAAATGAAAATCAACTAAGAAAAGTCATTAATATCCTAAAATGGTATAATGTGGGCTATTGAGTTCAATCTTCTATTGAATTATATACATGTACATGAAACAAAATTTATATAATGAAGTTAATTAGAATAAATATAATTTATCGTACTATACGATGAATTTACGTTACTCACTTTCAGGAATATTTTATAGAGTATAGTAGACGTTTCTTGAATTAATAAAATATTTTTTATGTAGACATTTCATATACTTCAAACTATACGCTTTTTTAATTTTGCTTAATGACGTACATAAAAACATTTTATAAACATCAATCTAAATAGCTTGTTGCAAGTCGGAAGAAAAGTTTTTCAAAGTGGAGGGGGGGGGGTGGCTCAGGGCTCCAAAAAGCCACGTAATTACCGGTATACGGGTACATCTAACTGTGCGGCATGTACAGTACATATTCCGTTCGAATCCAAAAGAAGTTATTTAGGTTCCGTTACCAAAGCTGAAGAAAGTACGATTTTTTAAAATAAAAAAAACGTATGAGGGAGAAATTAACATTAATTTTGCGCTATTATTTTACTGTCACTCAAAGTGCACATCATTTTCAGGCCCGTTATAGGCAATTTCAGTTTGGGGGTACAGCCATACATTTTTTTGCTACGCATTGTAAAACTTTGACAGATCTATAATAATGTATCTTAGTGTAGTCTACTTGTGAAGTTATGCCAAATTATATTGAAATCAGACCAACACTGCGAGAATAAGCGTTTCGAAAATTTGTTAAGAGAAGGACAATTAGAAATGGGGTAACCTGCGTCACCTTTCAGAGTAACCAGTGGACTCGTCCAAGGATGCTTTGTCGGCGACTGTAAAAAGTACCTGAGATTCCTACGCAAATGAAAGCGCGAAATCTCTGTATAGAAACTGTTGCAGCTGCGACGCTTCACTCATTGTTCATACGCTGTAGAATAGAATCCGACTTTTAACACTTAATATTTTTGAATATACAGACGTTTTCAACATAAGCTTCATTTTTGTTTCTAGAAATATGTTTATCTACAAATATAATATAATTTCGTGTTTTTAAACTGAGTAAATCGATGACCTAGCATCGTTTTAGATAACTCAAGCCCCTCTAGGGCTTGAGTAAAAATCGTCGATCGTCTTTACGTTCACGTTTAGAAAGCTTTCAAACTCCCCGGTACTTCGAAAAAGATTTATATACCTCTTTATTGTTAATTTGATACTCTAAGAGTCCTCTATCATCTAAAGGTTCGTTATTTCTGTACTCTCAAGCATGTTTCGTCTGTCGTTTGTTGTTTTCAAGTAAGCTACTTCGGAGACAAGCTTTTATTGACGTCAAGTTTATTCCGGTTCTTTCAAACGCGCAACCGACGTTTTGAGAATTCCACGGTGAACCGTAGGCGCATAGTTTCCACCCATGTAGCAATACCGTTGTGTTACCCATTGCCACGTGTGTTGCTACGGCTGAGGGTAATAGAACGTATTGTTAACTGCGTCTTAACCAATCAGATTGAAGTATTTAACATGAAAGTATAATAAAATATTTTGTTATATGTTTGGTCGAAAAACATTTTTTTTTAATGTAATAATAGTATAACCCGCTGAATAATGAAGCCACGCTCTCCAGATTAGCAACAGTCAACAGTGCTTGACGACGGGTGATATTCAAAGAAAGATATAGAGACAACGAACAGTATACAGTCTCAAAGTTCATAAACAATACAAAATAAAAGCAGAGCAAACACGAACCTCCGAAACATCAGAGGTGGGATCAGGTGCCATGGAGGAGCGAGCATTCCCTGCCTACCGGTCACACCCAACGTGTGTTCCTTGTCATGATCAGGAAATATCGGAAAAAATCCGTCGTCAATTAAGTGTATAAATAATGGACTAACAATATGTATGAAAAACGTCAGTCAGCATTTGACTCAGTGATAAATTGTATTTGCTGACAAGGTCATTGTATTGACCATGTAACAAAAAATAGTGACTGCGCAGTATTTATGCGCGCACGGTTCACTGTTATACGTATTTGTACAAAACATTCAGTATCATGGATGCGCCTTGGTTGACAATGGTTTTCTTGGGGTGAAAAATTTCAATGTTTCACATAATAACATGCAAAATTTATATAATACTTTTACACAGTGTTGATTAAATTGATGCAACATGTTTGAACTAGTTTGTCTTGAGTCAATTTAACTAATACGCTTATTTAGTTTAAAACAATGGAATGTTTTAAACGCATTTTAGGGCAACCATTTGCAAAAAGTGTAAGTATTAGATTTCTTTTCTATTTTTTTTTTTGATTTGGAGGGGGGATGTACATGGTAAATTTTACATATGTCCTGAGGTCTTAAATGGATAATATCTTCCGTGACCATTCCGTATTTTCTTACAAATAAAACTTAAAAAACGATACCTTATTTCTTAAATAGCATGTTGAATTTGTTATTAGATGTTTAAATTCTAATAGAATTAAATGAAAATAAATTTATCTACTCAGAGTTTGGGCCTCATTTTCTAAAAGAGGAACATCAAGTACATTAAATACGATATTAAATGTTTTGAAGTAAAACCTAAACCTGGCTACATCGATCTTTAAATCTAATTAAGTCTTTTTTTTCATTTTAAGTTCCAAGCTCCACATGTTTGAACGAAGTTTTGAGAAGAAACAGGCATGAGCTTATGAACGAAATTATGTCGAGGATATCGGATAGAAGTGACAGCATTGTTGACGATTTCTTAGAGGAAGATGTTCTATCTGTGGATGACCATGAAGAAGTATCGGCAGAGATAAAGAAATCCAAGGTGGCCAATTTTCTTCTCGACAGCGTAAGCAATCAATTACCAGGGTCATACCTTAAATTGCTTTCCATTCTGAAAATGCATGAACTGAACGATCTTACAAGCCGTCTTTTGAATGACATTGACAAGACTGCCTTGAGGGGAGAAACTAGGTGAGAAATCGTTCTGTAGCTTTTCTTTTTCTTTAGGGGAAAACAAAGCTGATGAAATCTTACGGAGGTATTCTTTGATAAAAATGAACAACATGCATTCTACGTATATTTAAGAAGCTAGTTTAATTTTTGGTGAATCATTATTAGGTCTTTCCACCTTTCTGTCGAAAGACCTATTGATTTTCTTCTGTTTCTTATTAGGTCTTTCCACCTTTCTGTGGAAAGACCTCTTGAAATGCTTCTGTTTATTATTATTTTATTTCTGGAGATGTTTTGAAACCGTTAGACTTATCGAAAAACTTTATAGTTTATGATATTGGATATTAAAAGTTATTCCGAAAAATGACCCCCCATGTTTGAACTTTGACCGCTTTTGAAGTTATTGCCCCTTTCGCAAGAAATGCTTGTTATCGCTACTCCTTCGAAACCATAAACCGTAGAAATATGAAACCTTCACTAAAGTCTTCGACTCATTGAGAGGACTCTTCAATCTATTCATTGCGAAAGTATTCGGTGACTCCTTCAATGAGTTATTGCCCCTGAAACTTTTTGAATTGTACAAATAATTAAAATTTTTCAAAACGAAAAGTGATAGAGACATAGGACCAACTGCATAAGATTCATTGAGTTTTGAGCTTAAAATTCATGTAAAGGTCAAAGGTCAAGGTCATTCCAAAATTGAGAAATTAAGCTCTTTTTATATCTTTTTTGTCTCTTAACATATACAAACTGTCTTAGCATCATTAATATGTACTCTAAAAACTATTTTAAAGATTCAATTTGTATTCCGTAAGATTGACTCTATAAAAAGTTATCTCCCTTTGTGCGGAAAACCTTGTTATCGCTACTACTGCGAAACCATAAACAGTACAAATATGAAACCTTCACTAAATTCTTCGACTAATTGAGAGGATTCTGGAATCTATTCATTGCAAAAGCCTTTGTTGACTTCTTCAATGAGTTATTGCCCCTGAAACTTTTTGATTTTTGGAAATTATTAAAAATTTTCAAAACGAGAAGTGATAGAGACATGGGACCAACTGCATAAGATTCATTGAGCTTTGAGCTTAAAATTCATGTAAAGGTCAAAGGTCAAGGTCATTGCAAAATTGAGAAATTGAGCTCTTTTTATATCTTTTTTGTCTCTTAACATATACAAACTGGCTTAGCATCATTAATATGTACTCTTAAAACTATTTTAAAGATTCAATTTGTATTCCGTAAGATTGTCTCTATAAAAAGTTATCGCCCTTTGTGCAGAAAACCTTGTTATCGCTACTACTGCGAAACCATAAACCGTACAAATATGAAACCTTCACTAAAGTCTTCGACTAATTGAGAGGATTCTGGAATCTATTCATTGCAAAAGTCTTTGTTGACTTCTTCAATAGTTATTGCCCCTGAAACTTTTTGAATTTTAGAAATAATTAAAAATTTTCAAAACGAGAAGTGTTAGAGACATGGACCAACTGCATAAGCTTTATTGACC